GGTTAGCGATTTGGGGACCGATAAGTTGGTCAAGGTTTTGCATAACTTGCACTTATTGCAACAAGATATACATCGGCGAAACAGGCAGAAGACTAGGTGACCGGTTCCGAGAACACCTTCGAGACGTGGAAAGGAATGACAAGGACACATCGAAACCGGTCGCTCGATTATTTAATTTACCTAATCATTCTAAATAAATAAACTTAAATAAATAAACTTTAATAGCTAACACAATTACTTGTAACCCAGTATTTTTCATTCTAAGCAACATATGGCAATCTGCGGTCTTTCCTTACACTTAGGTAGCACGGAAAGCCGTAAAACTCTTGAACAAAAGCTCATCTTTCAAACCGGGCAGTCTAAATCCCACAGGTATCAACGAACGCTTTTCATTCCACTAATTTTTCGTGTTTTTCCCGTTGCCATGTTCCCACCAATCACGTAGCTCCTTTTTCTGCCTTTAAATGCGCACACAACCCACAATTCCTCTATTCGCTACGACGAAGGGCTAACGCTCGAAACGTCAGCTTTTATAATCGTAACGGTGGCCAATTTACCATTTCAACTTTGTTGATATATTCAAATTATGATGTGTACATACTTTATTAAACCCCTAACGTTGTCTAAAGACTGTTCAACTGAATCCAGTGTTTTTTTTTTTTCTATCCCTTGAAAGCAACAGATGTAGAGTAGCTAATATAATTGATTCGTCGTGTCTTGTAACTTAAAAGTTCGTCCGCCTGATTTTCATTTCAGCTCTTTCAGCGGCAGTTGACACCACCCTTGGAGCTTGAATGCTTGCCATGGTAATACCGACCGTTCAAGTTGCTTTGAACACAGCTATTGTACCGCCAAGCATTTTATAGACAGCGACGCAGTTGCTCAAGAAATGATCATTACCGCGATATTTGAATCGGTCGAGAATACACACTTACGATGATGGCTCAAGGAATCACCGGCGGTTCCTAGGATTAATTGAAGGAGATCAAATAATCAATCCGTTATTATCTTTCAATGAAAGGACCTTATTATTTCATTCAGTCCTTATTATCTTACGGGTAACACCGTGACTGAGGATCTGTCAGGAAAAGCTAAAAATTTTTCGGGAAGGGAACTGTAATAAAGGAGTGACCATTTCCCTTGTTCACGTCAGATAAGTTACGAGGGTAAATTTGGTGTCTAAAATAATAGTAGAAGGACGATGTAGTTAGTATCAAAAAAAGGAAAGAAAAACTGTCGAGAACTCTTTTGTGACACATGTTGTAGAACAAGCACAAAACACAGAAATTTCTGCCAAAATCGACACAATCTCACATCAACATGATCACTACCGACATTTCATTGGATATCGCTGAAGTTGTTTAGAAATTTTGTTAGTTTCAAGCTTTCGATCGGAAAATGAGTAGCTTCACACGAATATGAACTATAAGTATTTTTTTTCTCTCTTTTCTATCAAGTCCGTGACTTTGGGGCAGGCCCATTTAACTATCACGTTTCATTGCGCTTTACTCCGTTTCTCTCAACTATCTAGGAAAAAAAATATAAAGTATAGCTGATGCACTGCATTCCTTGTTTGCGTTTGTTTCTAGCTTAAAAGTCCACAGGCTTGATCTTCATTTCAGCTCTCTTAGCGGAGTAATAAGCACCCTTCCATGTCTTCCAGTTGATTTCAAAATAGCCGGACTTGTGTGAACCGTGGTAGAAGTAGCCGTTTAAGTTGGCATTGACACAGCTATTGTACCACCAGGCGCTATTATGAACTGCTGCACAATTGTGCGCTGAGTTATTACCATTGTCGCGATCTTTGCTGGAGAATGCCATGTTACGGTGATAGCTCAGAGAATCACCAGCAGTTCCTGCGACAAAATCACATCTGATTAGCAAAAGTAGGTGGAGTAATAAAATTGAAGAATCGCTTTAATTCGTTTGTTTTTAAGAGCCATTCTGGCTGAAATAGAGAAATATACAGATCGTAAAGACTTACCGGTATTCTTTCCAAGGCCAAGTCTATATTTTTTTCTTTCGCTGGGTGACAGAGAATATGTCATATTCGGCGTAAGCTGTCTTTCCTTGTATGTCTTCAAGCTTCACTCGCACGGCCTGCTCTTTGTTTTGGTCATGAGGTGTATTTTGTCCAGTCCGAGCCAAAATCGCCATTCAGGTTTCCGAAGCCTCGTTTGAAGTCCGCCTCGTTTGAAATCCCCCTCGTTTGAAATCAACGGAACCATCGAGTCTCTTCTGGAACACTGTC